CAATGTATGAAGGTTTGAATTTCTGCATATCTTTACTGATACTTGTTCATCTATATTATTAAAGCTAGCTTAGTGGATATAAAGTGATGTCTTGTGGTTTTGGTTTGCATTTACCTAGTGAGAAATGCTGAGCATCTTTATACATGCTTTTTGGCTATTTGTATATCTTGTTTGGAGTAATGTCTATGCAGATCCTTTGCCTGCTTTTTTAAAAAAAAATACTTATTTATTTGGATGCCTTCAGTCTTAGTTGCATCATGTGGGATCTTAGTTCCCCAACCAGGGATTGAACCAACATCCCTTTCATTGCAAGGCAGATTCTCAACTACTGTCCCACCAGGGAAGTCCCACTTTGACCACTTTTAATGGGTTATTTATTTTTTCATTGTTAGAGTTATTTATAAATTCTGGATACAAGTCTCTTATTGAATATATCATTTGCTCATATTCTCTCCTATTCTAAGGGTTATGTTTTCACTTTTTTGAAATTGACCTTTGAAGCACAAAAGTTTTTTGTTTTTATGAATTCCAATTTATTTATTTTTGGTTACTTGTGCTTTAGGTATTTTATTTAAGAAGTAATTGTTTGGCCCATGGTCAAAAAATTTTACTCCTATGTTTTCTTCTAGGAGTTTGATAGATTTAGTTTTTAACATTTAGATCTTTCATATATTTTGAGTTAATTTTGTGTATAGTATAATGTAGGGGTTCAACTTCATTCTTTTGCATGTGGATACCAAGTTGTCCCAGCACCTTTTGTTGAAAAACCTCTCTTTCCCTATTGAATTGTCTTGGCATCCTTGTTGAAAACCAGTCAACCGTACACAGAAGAGCTTATTTCTGGACTCTCAGTTCTATTCTATCCATCTGTATTTCTATTCTTATGCTGGCCCCATAGTTTTTGGTTGTTGTAGTTGTGAAGTACGTTTTGAAGTTGGGAAATATAGATTCTTTGTTCTGTTTTTCAAGATTTGGGTCGGGAGAGGGCCTCCTCTAGACCTTTTGTGTTTCCATATGAATTTTAGGATCGTTCTGTCAATTTCTGCAAGAAAGCTAGCTGGGGTTTTGAGGAAAAATTTGAGGAATATTTCCACCTTAACATATAAAGTCTGATCCATGAACATAAAATTTCTTTTTATTTATTTAGATCATTAATTAATGTCTTTCATCAAAGTTTTTAGTGCCCAAGTAGTTTTAGTGTACAAGTCTTACACGTACTTTGCTAAATGTTTTTCTAAATATTTTTTGATGATATTATAAATGCAGTTGTTTTCTTCATTTAACTTTGGGATTATTCATTGCTAGTGTATGGAAATACAATTGAGTTTTTATATTGATCATAAGTCCTGCAATCTGTGAACTAGTATATTAGTTCTCATTTTTTTGTGGACTCTTTAGGCTTTCCTGTGTACAAGATTATGGCATCTGTGAATAGAGATAGTTTTATTTCTTTTCCAACCTGAATGTGTTTATTTCTTTTTTAATTTTTTTTCATAATTTCCTTGTCTAGTTTCTCCAGTACAATGTAGAATAGAATAAACAAGAATGGGGATCTTTGTTTTGTTTCTGATCTTAGTGGGGGAAAACCTAGGCTTTTACCATTAAGTATGATTTAGCTTTTGGTTTTTCATAGGTGCCCCGTATCAGAACAAGGATGAGCCCTTCTTTTTCCAGCTTGTTCAGTGTTTTTATCTTGACAAATATTGGATTTTATGAAATTCTTTTTCTTTTTCCATTGAGCTGACCATGTAAGGTTTTTTCCTCCTCTCTTTATATTATTTACATTATATATGACATGGATTGGTTTTTAGATATTAAACCAACCTTGCATTTCTGGGATAAATCCAAATTTGTTGTGGTGTCTTATCCTTTTTATGTGTTGCTTGATTCAGTTTGCTAGTATTTTGTGAGGCTTTCTCTGTCTAGTAATAAAGGATATTAGTGTATTGGTTTCTTTCTCTTATTTTGTTATATAGGTAATATTGGCCTATCATAGATTTCAAGTTGGTAAGTATTCCTTCTGCTTCTATTTACTGGAAGAGTTAATGAAAGATTGGTTTTAATACTTCTTTAAACATTTTGGTAGAATTCATCAGTGGAGCCAATATGATCCTAGACTTTTCTTTGTGGGAATTTCACAAATTTCTAATTCAATATATTTACTCGATATAGGTTCAGTTCAGTTCAGTTCAGTCTCTCAGTCGTGTCTGACTCTTTGCAACCCCATGAATTGCAGCACGCAAGGCCTCCCTGTCCATCACCAATTCCCAGAGTTTACTCAAACCCATGTCCATTGAGTTGGTGATGCCTTCCAGCCATCTCATCCTCTGTCATCCCCTTCTCCTCCTGACCCCAATCCCTCCCAGCATCAGGGTCTTTTCCAATGAGTCAACTCTTCGCATCAGGTGACCAAAGTATTGGAGTTTCAGCTTCAGCATCAGTCCTTCCAATGAACACCCAAGACTGATCTCCTTTAGGATGGATTGGTTGAATCTCCTTGCAGTCCAAGGGACTCTCAAGAGTCTTCTCCAACACCACAGTTCAAAATCATCAATTCTTCAGTGCTCAGCTTTCTTTGTAGTCCAACTCTCACATCCATACATGACCACTGGAAAAACCATAGCCTTGACTAGACAGACCTTTGTTGGCAAAGTAATGTCTCTGCTTTTTAATATGCTATCTAGGTTGGTCATAACTTTCCTTCCAAAGAATAAGCATCTTTTAATTTCATGGTTGCAATCACCATCTACAGTCATTTTGGAGCCCAAAAAAATAAAGTCTGACACTGTTTTCACTGTCTTCCCATCTATTTCCCATGAAGTGATGGGCCAGATGCCATAATCTTAGTTTTCTGAATGTTGAGCTTTAAGCCAACTTTTTCACTCTCTTCTTTCACTTTCATCAAGAGGCTTTTGAGTTCCTCTTCACTTTCTGCCATAAGGGTGGTGTCATCTGCATATCTGAGGTTATTGATATACTATACAGTTTTGCCTGCTTTTCTCTTTTAGTCCTAAATATTTATTCCTTTAGTCATTCAAGAAATATTTATTAGGCATCTATTATAATTAGACCCTGTTTCTTAACATGGAGGGTACAACAGTGAGTAAAACAAATGTCCTGGCCCTCTTAGAGCTTAGCATTCTCATACTCCTTCTCTCTCTCTGTCTTATGCTGTCTATATATACATATTTTTTATTCATATGTAATGTAGATCTGTCCTTTGTAAAAGAATATTGTTACATGCCATTTGTGGGGAAAGAGGGTTCTTAGGTTTGCTTATATATTGTCATAGTTTATATAAACTCTTTAAGTGTTCTTGAAGCAGATTGCATGCATGGGAAATGGAGTATATTATTATTATAATCACAGTTTATATTGGTGCTTCCCCTTGGCATTGCTACAAGGACATGATTTTTAATAAAAACAAACCACCATCCTAAAAAAAAAAACAAAACCACCATCCTTATTCATTATCATCCTCAAGACCATCCAGTGCCTTCTGTTCAGTCTGATCATTAGTAAGAGCATAGTTTCCTAGGCCTGCTATAATAAAGTACCACAAACTGGGGGCTTAAAACAAGAGAAATTTGTTCTCCTGTAGTTCTGGCAGCTTGGAGCTGAAATTAAGATGTTACCAAGGCCATGTTCCCTCCAAGATTCTGGGTAGAATCCTCCCTTATTTCTGCTTAGCATCTGGCGGTGGCCATCAGTCCTTAGCACCCCTGGCTTGCAACTGCATTACTCCAAGCAGTGCGTCTGTGATGGCATGGTGTCCTCCCTGTGTCTTCATACGACATTTTCCCCTTCTTATAAGGACACCAGCCTTATTGGATTGAGGCCTACCTTAATGACTTCATTAAGAAGTCGTTGGATGCTTGATTACCTTAAGTTGATTACCTCTACAAAGACTCTATTTTTGAATAAGGTCACATTTAGAAGTACCATAAGTATATTTTGGGGGAGAGGACGTAATTCCACCCATAACAGAGCATTATGCTTTAACTCTGAAATATTAAATGACTATTTCATTTTAATAACATTACTAATTTTAATAACTTTTATTAAAATTTCATGGTATATTTCTCAGTCTTAAAAAAAAAATAATGCCCCATCCCCATTATAAGGCCTGAAGGTATCACTGATTCATACATATGTGTTTCATCTTCTAAGCATAAATTCTGGAAAGGAAACAAAGGTGATTGGTTCTGTAACTGGAGCTTGTTGTCAGAGAAGTTCAAATGCAAGCATCTCTCAAATCACAGTTTATATTCCCCCCCAAATAAAACAGAATCATGTAAGAGTTTGTGGGTGATGTTTGAAACAGCAGTTGCCTGCTCATACACATGGTTTCCCTTACCACAATCTCAGAGATCTTTATACATAGACCAGTTTAAGTGGTGCCAGAATCCATCTCTGTAGGGAAATGAAATAGCATGGTTTATGAAATTGTGTTTGTTTGTTTTGGATGGAGGATGACAAGTGTTGTATACAATACAATGTAACTTTGGAACAAAGTTAAAAGAATAGAATAGTATCGTCTGAGCACCAATCTAGCAGTCTCATATGCTAATCCCAATTGTTTTTAGTAATGCTCCCAAGTATTTCTTTTTAACCTTCAAATGTTATCATCTCTCTTTTGTCACAGTACAGTTATTTGAGTGTCTGTCACTCCTTAGTACTCTAGTGTGGTGAATACAGCCCTCTTGGGGCCACGAGTGGAGAATCTGGATTCCTTCTTGAAAATAAAACCCATAGCCCTGTTCCTATGGCAAGGAAATACTGAGACATTGTTCACATTTGTTGCTCCCATTAGGTCTTGAATTCTACCTTTAAATTTAGCTATTTGTTCTTTGTTTTCTTTTACCGTTTTTGAATTAAGTGTTGACTTCTATTCTTATGGCTACTACCTTTATTTCTGCCTAAGTTTCAATTATGGAACCAGAACGAAAATTTTAATTAATTATTATTTTTTCTTCTTTCTTTATTTTAAAACAATCCAGGACAATCTAGAGCAGCCATGATACCTCCCAAGCATCCACGGCAGCCTAAGGGAGCTTTGGATGATGCCATCGCCTTTGGCGGGAAAACAGACCAAGAAGCACCTAACGCTTTGCAACCAACACCACCCCCACTGCCAAAGAAAATGATTATAAGAGCCAATACAGAGCCACTCTCCAAAGACCTCCAAAAGTCCCTGGAAACTACCCTTTGTGTCATGGCTAATCCCACCTACGATATCGACCCCAGCTGGGATGCCAGCAGTGCTGGCTCCTCAGTCAGCTATGAACTCAAGGGACTAGACGCTGAGTCTTATGACTCCTTGGAGAGACCTTTGCACAAGGAGAGACGTGTGCCCTCAGCAGCAAACAGCATCTCCAGCCTAACCACTCTCAGTATTAAGGATAGGTTTTCCAACAGCACAGAGTCCCTGTCCAGCCGGCGGGGTCCCTCCGGTAGACAGGCCCGGAGTATCCAGAAGCCACAGAGACAAGCACTTTATCGAGGACTTGAGAATCGTGAAGAAGTGGTGGGTAAAATCCGGAGCCTTCATACAGATGCTTTGAAGAAACTGGCTGTTAAATGTGAAGACCTCTTCATGGCTGGGCAGAAAGACCAACTCCGTTTTGGGGTAGACAGCTGGTCAGACTTCAGGCTGACCAGTGACAAGCCATGCTGTGAGGCTGGTGATGCAGTTTACTATACAGCTTCATATGCAAAAGATCCACTTAACAACTATGCAGTCAAGGTAAGAAAATATTATAAATCTGATTCTAATCTTCTCCAACACATTGTTATTGAGATGGGTCTGGTTTTTTTTTCCCCTTCTTTTCTCCATTCAGCAAAAACTTATTAAGTATCTGCCTTACACCAGATATTGTAATAGAAGAGGCCTTAACTTATTATCTATTGGAGAAAACAGATTTATAAAGAGACAGACTTATAACACAGTATACTGAATGCTAGGGTAGAAGTTAACAGAATTCTGTGGGTGCTTAGAAGGCCCTTAACCCAGACTCTTGATGCTAAAAAATTCTTCTTAAAGTAGGTAATACTTGAGCGAGATTGTTTGCAAAGATTTCCTGTACAAATGAGGTCTACTATGTGCCTTTCACTCTCTCTGTTTCTGTCTTTATTCCCTAGCAAATAAGAGACCCTTGTCTATCTCTGCTTTCTAACTTCTCTGCTTCTGAGAGAAATGTTTTTATAGAGGAAGGTAATCAATATTTGTTGATGTACAAGGAACTTTCTCGTGTTATATAATTTAATCTTCACATCAAGTTCATGGGGTTAAGATCTATTTATCCGTTTGACAGGTGAGAATAAAGCTTAGGGTCACACAGCTAGCAATTAATAAAGCTAGGATTTAAACAGATCTATCTGGCCCCATAGCCTACACTTTTTCTGTTATGTCACATCAATTTCTTATATATGTATCACCCATTCCAGACAGCCCACTTATTTAAGAAGGCTAAAACTCTTAGCATCAAGAATTCTTGAGCAATTACATTCACTGTAACAGTAAGCCATAGGCTTCATCAGTGTGTAATAAATGAAGCATGGACTTTGAAATTCCAAAGATCTAGGTTCAAATCCTAACTCTTCCACTTAGCTCTGTCACAAGTTACTCCTCCATGTGTCAGTTTCCTCAGCTTTAGAAAGGAATAATTGCACCCATCTTATGGGGCTGTTTGGCTGCAAGAAAACAAAATACCTAGTGATTGGTATTCATTTCTTTCACTATCCCTTAGCTTCCTCCCTATATTGCCAAGACAGCAACAATCTTTTGAGCCTCAATTTCCTCCTCTTTCAGATGTTTACAACAATGATGACCCATATACTTTGTGGGATTGAGATTAGGATCAAGTGAGATAATGCATGTGAAAGAGTTTCTTAAAAACATAAATCTCTATGTAAATATAACGTTGGTTCACCCTTTGCATAGTCCCTTTTTCCAGATTCTATTCACTGGTTCAAAACTAATTAGCATATCTAAATGACTTGTACATGTTAATTTGGCTAGATAGACCAGATGGTATCTTAGTAAATTAATGGATAAGGTAAACGATTGGCCTTACCTGTCTTTCAAGACAGAACATGTATTTGGGCCAGATCTTCAGCTGACTGCTCTCTGCATTTGTAGCACCTAAGCCACTTCACTCTGGTGATACTCATAATGACCTTGTGCCCCAGCCCACACTTCTTAAATTAAACTGAGGGGTAAACTGCAGAGAGAGAATCTAGATTCAAGTTAATACATTACTGTTGAGTCTAAAAAGGCATGTTGAGATTTGGTGTAGTGTTCAAGAGCCGTTACACTAGTTGGAGTTCTGGGACCTCATTTATCTCAGGCCTGTATTACTACAGGATCGCCAGTGCAGGATGAATGCCTATTTCAGAGAGGAACATTGAACTCTCTGTTCTTTCAAAACAACTGAGAAGTAGGGCTTGACTAACTTTATGTATTATTGCTGTGCAATCTTGTCTCTTTCCCAAATCAATGGCCTGGTATTGATTTCTTTGCTTGTAATGATGCAAAAGCAATCTCCAAAGAACAGGTGGCAAGTGGTTATATACTGAGAGTTGTTGGCAGGTTTGGGAAAGGATGTTTTACACTAAATGGTGAATATAAATGTCTACTTGAAGACCCTCTAGGCATTTCTAGAAGTACCCATTTGATAGTACAACCTTAAAGGAATAAGCTACTAGGATACTGTGAGCTCTACCTTTGCAGAAATAAACAAAAAAGACTAGCAGTTGGCTCATACAAACAACTTGTTACTGTTTGTCTTCTTAAAATCACCCCTTTCCATACTAATGAAATTGAAGGGTGGCCAGGCAGGTACAGCTCTCTCTGTTTTAATTGATGTATAGTTGATTTGGACTTCCCTGGTGGCTCAGATGGTAAAGCGTCTGCCTACAATGTGGGAGACCCGGGTTCAATCCCTGGGTCCGAAAGATCCTCTGGAGAAGGAAATGGCAACCCACTCCGGTACTCTTGCCTGGAAAATCCCATGGACGGAGGAGCGTGGTAGGCTACAGTCCACAGGGTCGCAAAGAGTCGGACACGACTAAGCAACTTCACGCACTCACATAGTTGATTTACAATGTGTTAATTCCTGCTATACAGCAAGATGATTCAGTTATACCTGTATATACATTTTTTAATATTGTTTTCCACCGTGGTTTATCCCAGGATGTTAAACATAGTTCCCTGTGCTATTTAGTAGAACCTTGTTGTCCATCCATTCCATATGCAATACTTTGCATCTGCTAACCCCATACTCCCAGTCTATCCCTCCCTCTCTCCACCCACACACATACACCCCACACCACAAGTCTGTTCTCTATGTCTGTTAAAGAGACTAAAAGTTCTTTTAAAATGTTACAAAAGGAATTTGGTGCTGGAATTTAATAATTTGAAAGTCAAAGGCTACTGCCCTTTAAATACCACTGCTCCATAAATACCAAATCCACTGTGGTGACAGAGCATTAAGATCTTAACTTTGTGTATTGTCTTAGTTTGCTCAGGCTGCCATAACAAAATACTAAGAATGGATGACTTAAACAACATAAATTTATTTTCTCACAGTTCTGAATGCTGGAAAGTCCAAGGTCAAGGTTCCAACTGATTTAGTTTTTAGTAAGGGCTCTCTTTCTGCCTTGCAGATGGCTGCCTTCTTTCTAATTCCTCACATGGCTCAGGGGGTTGGAGCTCTTTCGTGTCTCTTCTTGTGCGTACTAAGTCGCTTTAGTTGTGTCCAACTCTGTGCGACCCTGTGGACTGTAGCCCGCCAGGCTGCTCTGTCCATGGGACTCTCCTGCTGTGTCCTCCTCCATGGGATCTTTCCGACCAGGGATTGAACCTGCATCTCTTATGTCTCCTGCATTGGTAGACAGGTTATTTACCGCTAGGGCCAAATGTGTCTCTTCTTATAAGGACACTAATCCATATCAAGGCCCCACCCTTTTACTCTCAGTTAACTCTAATTGCTTCTTTATAGGTCCTATCTCCAAATACTGTTAACACTGGAGGTTAACACATCAACATATGAATTCGAGGGTTCATGATTCAGTTAATAACATTCTGCCCCTGACCCCCCAAAAATTCATGTTCTTATCACATGCAAAATATGTTCAATCCATCTTAACAGCCCCATAGGTAACTCATTCTAGCATCAACTCAAGTCCAAAGTCTCATCTAAATATCATAGAAATCAGATATGTGTAAAACTCAAGGTCTGATAAATCCTGAGGCAAATTGCCTCCTCAACTATAAACCTATGAAACTAGTCAAGTTATATGCTCCCAAAATACAGAGGTGGGCAAGCATGGAATAGACTGTCCCATTCTAAAAGGGAGAAATCAGAAGGAAGAAGGGGATGATGGGTTCCAGCAAGCCCAAAATCTTGCAAGACAAATTCCATTAAATATTAAGGCTCCAGAACAATCCTCTTGGACTCAGTACTCTGTCTTTCAGGCCCACTGGGGTGACAGAATCACCCGTGTCTCTACTAGGCACCCTAATCCTTTGGGTCTTTGTAAAGACCCGCTCACATGACTGCCAGGGCAGCCCGCCCCTGAGCCATTGGGCAGGTTCGTCCTGGCCTTCCCAATCTGGAGAAGCAGCCCAGCCCTTCAAAACCAAGGAGGAAACAGCCTTGCTTCTGGGCCTGTGGTGGGAGTAGCAGCCCTGTGGTGATCCCTGAAACACCTTTTCAGCGTCATTCTTCCCTCTCCTTAAAGAACAGTGCACGTTCACAGCTAAATAGCTCTATGATCCACTCCTGGAGAATCCATTAGCCTTCCTTCATTCCACCCAGATTTCTCTGTCCCTTTAGTTCAAACTGACAGTGCCTTTGCCGGTATAACCCCATCTCTATTTCTGGCTTCTGCTGAGATGGCTGATTAAGTCCACGAGTCACAGTCTGTCTCCTTATCAAATGACTGTTCTACTACACCCTTAGTATTCTCTTTAGAACAAGTTTTCTAATATTTTGTGGTGTGGGTAGGCTGAGAGTTTTCTAAATCTTCAAATTCTGATTCCTTGTTGCTTAGCAATTCCTTCTTCAACTCTTTCTCCCTCTGCACTTCACTATAAGCAGTCAAAAGGAAGCAAGTTGTTCCCTTAATACTTTGTCTCTCAGCTAAATATCCAATTTCATTACTCACAAGTTCTGCCTTAACAAAATGCTGAAACAGAGTTTAGCCAAGTTCTTTGCCATTTTTTAAGAAATCTCACTTTTTTTCCTAGTTTCTAATGAATGTTCCTCATTTCTAAGACCACCAGAATCACCCTTAATGTCCATATTTCTAGCAACAGTCTGTTCATAAGTTTCTAAGCTTTTTCTATCATAACTTTTAAAACTCTTTCAGCTTCTACCCAATTCTAAAGCCACTTCTTTCTGCATTTTGGAATACTGCTTACAGCAGTACCCTACTTCTCAGCAACAAAATCTTAGTCTGCTTAGGCCACCATAACAAAATACCATAGACTGGGTATTTTTTCTCCTAGTTTTGGAGACTGGAAAGGAAGATTCTCTTCCTGGCTTCTTGCTGTGTCCTTATGTCCGCACTTGGGAGGGTAGAGGAGAGAGTATGTCACATTGGGTGTTGGGGCTTTAACATGTGAGTCTTGAGAAGACACAATTCAGTTCATAGCTTTATTCTGTTTTTCATTCAGTGTGACTATCTTTATGATTTTCCTTGGTCTTAAACTAAAAGACATCACAATATAGAATAAAGGAA